GACTCGTTCAAATTTTTACTTCACAATTCTGATTGTGATATATTTGCTCTCTGTAAAACATGGCTTTCTTCCGATGAAGAACTCAACTTCCACGATTTTAACATTATACGCCTGGATAGAGACGATTCTTATGGAGGAGTACTTTTAGGGATCAAAAAGTGCTACCCTTTCTACAAAATTTCCCTTCCTGCTCTATCAGGCGTCGAAATCGTCGCTTGCCAAATAAATGTGAAGAACAAAGACCTTTGCATAGCTTCAGTTTATGTTCCACCAAGAACCTCCATTAGCCGTAGTCAACTCTGGAATCTAGTTTCGATTCTTCCATCCCCAGTATTAATTCTGGGTGATATGAACTCCCATGGTACTGGGTGGGGCGATCTATATGATGACAATAGAGCGGCTATTTTTTACGATTTATGCGACGATTTCAACTTGACTATTTTAAACACTGGTGAAGCGACACGTATAGCAAAACCTCCGGCTCGAGAAAGCCGACTCGACATATCTTTGTGTTCAAGATCGCTATCATTGGATTGTCTGTGGAAGGTTATTAATGATCCCCATGGTAGCGATCATTTGCCAATCATCATTTCAATTAAGTGTGCCCCTCACTCTGCAGAACCATCTCGAGTTCCATTTGATCTTTCAAGGAACATAGATTGGCATAAATATGCAACGGCGGTGACAGTCGGTGCCGTATCAATAGATACGCTTCCACCATTGGAAGAATATCGATTCCTCGCCGATTTGATTTACAAAAGTTCACTGGAAGCACAAAAAAGAAAAGTTCCAAGTGCGCCCTTCAAAAGGAGACCAGTCACACCTGGATGAGACGAAGAATGCACAAAACTGTATGTAGAAAAATCTGATGCTTTCAAAGCTTTTCGTAGACACAAAACCTCCACATACTTCGAGGAATATTCAAAGCTTGAGACAAAGCTGAAACAATTAATCAAAGCAAAAAAACGCGGTTATTGGCGCAATTTCGTCGAGGGACTCTCACGAGAAACCTCAATGAACACCTTGTGGAGGGTGGCTCGCAACATGCGTAACCGCTCATCTTTCAATGAGAGTGAAGAATACTCCAACCGATGGATATTCGATTTCGCTAAAAAGGTCTGTCCGGACTCAGTTCCAGCACAAAATATTCTTCGAGAAGCGTCTCCTAGCGGCGGCTCTCTGGATAGACCATTCTCAATGCTGGATTTCTCTATGGATCTTCTTTCATCGAACAACTCCTCACCGGGAAGCGATATGATTAAATTCAATCTTCTGAAAAATCTCCCAGATATCGCTAAAAGACGCTTGCTAGATTTATTCAATTCCTTGCTAGAAAACAACATTGTACCGCCTGAATGGAGACAGGTCAAAGTAATAGCCATTAAAAAACCTGGCAAATCAGCGTCTGACCATAACTCATACCGTCCGATTGCTATGCTTTCGTGCATTAGGAAATTGTTGGAGAAAATGATCCTTCGGAGACTCGATCACTGGGTCGAATCAAATAACTTGCTATCAAATACACAGTTTGGGTTCCGCAAGAGCAAAGGAACAAACGATTGTCTAGCGCTGTTTTCCACAGATATTCAACTGGCCTTTGCGCACAAGGAGCAATTGGCTTCAGTATTCTTGGACATTAAGGGGGCTTTTGATTCAGTTTCCATTGAAATACTGTCAGACAATCTGCACAGATGTGGACTTTCTGGAATTTTAAATAATTTCTTGTACAATTTGTTGTCAGAAAAGCAAATGAACTTTTCTCTTGGATAACTGACAACTTCCAGAATTAGTTACATGGGCCTGCCCCAAGGCTCATGTCTCAGCCCTCTTCTTTATAACTTTTATGTCAAAGATATCGACAACTGTTTGGCAGAACAATGCACGCTAAGACAACTTGCAGATGACGGTGTGGTTTCCGTAAGAGGTCCACATGCCGTGGACTTGCAAGGACCATTGCAAAGTTCCTTAGATAACTTGTCTTCTTGGGCTAGGAATCTAGGGATCGAATTCTCGCCGCAGAAAACTGAACTGGTAGTGTTTACTCGAAAGCGGTACCCAGCCCAAATGCAACTTAATCTTTTGGGCAGAAACATTACTCAATCATTGTCTTTCAAGTACCTTGGGGTCTGGTTTGATTCAAAGTGCACTTGGAATACCCATATTACGTATTTGAAGCAAAAATGTCAGCAGAGGATCAACTTTCTCCGTTCAATTTGAGGCACATGGTGGGGTGCTCATCCGGGAGACCTCATAACGCTTTATAAAACAACTATTCTCTCTGTTCTAGAGTACGGCTCTTTCTGCTTTCTCTCGGCAAGAAAAAGTCACCTAATAAAATTGGAACGAATTCAATATCGTTGTCTGCGTATTGCTCTAGGCTGTATGCACTCAACGCATAACATGAGTCTCGAGGTTCTGGCAGGAGTAACACCCCTCCAGAACCGTTTCTGGGAGCTCTCTCTCAGAATACTAATCAAATGCGGAGTGACGAACACACTTATAATTGCAAATTTTGAAGAAATTCTTGGGCTGAACACACAATCTCGATTTATGAGAATCTACCACCACTACATATCATCAGATATGTGTCTTCCTTGTTATACTCCAGACCGTGTTCACTTCACCAATCGCAGTTCCTCAATTGAATATGATCTGACCATGAAACAAGCAACTCATGGGATTCCCGATCAACTTCGACCTATTATTATTCCGCGTATTTTTACTGAAAAGTACCAACAAGTCAATTGCATGAAAAGATATTTTACAGACGGGTCCCGTCTCAATGGATCCACTGGCTTCGGTGTCTTCAATGAAAACTCTAGCGCCTTCCGCAAACTTCAGGAACCTTGTTCCGTTTTTGTTGCTGAGCTGGCAGCAATCAACTTCGCATTGGGGATGATTTCCAACATGCTCGCAGACCATTACTTCATCTTCACGGATAGTCTCAGTTCGATTGAGGCTATTCGGTCGATGAAACAAGGTAGGCACTCATCTTATTTTCTTTCAAAGGTAAGGGAGCAGATGTGTGTGCTGGTCGAAAGATCATATATGATTACCTTTGTATGGGTCCCCTCACATTGCTCAATCCCAGGCAATGAGAAGGCGGACTCTCTCGCAAAGGTGGGCGCGCAGGAAGGCGAATTGTATGACAGGCAAATTTCACACGATGAATTTTACCATTTAGTGCGTCAGAGTACCTTTTCGAGTTGGCAAACCGATTGGGACAATGGAAATCTTGGACGGTGGTTACATTCAATTATTCCTAATGTTTCTTCGAGAGCGTGGTTTAAAGGCTTGGGCTTAAGTCGTGACTTCATTCACGTGATGAGTAGACTTATGTCCAACCACTACTCGCTACATGCTCATCTCAATAGAATAAACCTCGTGGACAGCAATATCTGTCGGTGTGGAAACGGTTACGATGACATCGAACACGCACTTTGGCAATGTACGGATAATGACGCCGCCAGAGAGCGACTTTTGAATACCCTCGAGGCCCAAGGAAGACAACCCTATGTTTCTATCAGAGACGTGTTGGCAACCCGTGATCTCTGCTATATGTAGTCCGTTTATGTCTTTCTTCAAATGTCTAGTTTAAGAATTTAATTCCTTTTGTCTTTTGTCTCTCTTTATTAGTTTTTGTTTGTCTTGTCCCCCCGTCTCGATGAGTCTCATCGTCGCCCACTGGTCACCCACCATAGCCGGTCGAACTCCGGACGAAGCTAGAACAGCACTACCGTTCATACTGGCGACAACGCTCTGATGAGACAACGAAACCCTACCCCAAGCTCCTCCCCTGATCCTATCCTTCGAAAATGTACCCTTCTAACCTCGAGTAAGCCGCGAGTAATCGGCCCAACGCCTACTAGACATAGAATTAAGTGAATTTTGTTACACACAGTGAACAATGAATTATCGGCTCCGTAAAGCTAACGCGATTGAGCCTTCCAAATAGACGAACTAGATAAAAAAAAACAAGCTAACTTAACTTAAATTTGGGTGGCCGTGATGCCCTATTAAAAATTGTGGTCATATACCGGGGAAAAATTATTTGAATGTAACAGTTCATCGAATGACGTTTCCCTGTAATTCCTTCAGCACACCTGCTGCTTATCGAAATAAAACGCTCGAATAAGCTCGATATCTTTCCCCAAAGTGCGTTCGGACAACTCAGGCGTTTTCATTAATTTCTTCTCTCGATTCCGGAAGTGCACGACGTATCTGGAACTACCACACCAAAATGTATGCAGAATATTGTCGGTACTGGATTAGTAGCGGTAACCAGCAGGACCTACGTTGATTTAAGCTTAACACCCGCAGATTGATGAACGCTCCATCACATGACTTCAACCTTTCACATTCTGGCAAGAAAGTCAATTCTAAAACACCTTTTAAATTTATATGGTGGCCCTGAAAAGGGCCGGTTTTTTGGTTCTGAGTCGATGATACTAAATTAACCCCCGAATCCGTACAGAGTACGTCCCTGCCGCTTCAGAGCGTAAACGACATCCATGGTGGTGACAGTCTTCCTCTTCGCATGTTCGGTGTAAGTAACGGCGTCACGAATAACGTTTTCCAGAAATACCTTCAGCACTCCTCTGGTTTCTTCGTAAATGAGACCGGAAATTCTCTTAACTCAACCACGACGAGCCAAACGACGGATTGCAGGTTTAGTGATGCCCTGGATGTTGTCACGCAACACTTTTCGGTGACGCTTGGCTCCTCCTTTGCCAAGTCCTTTTCCACCCTTGCCGCGTCCAGTCATTTTCTAGTATGATAATTGTATCGTCGATGAAGATTGAAACGAGGGTGAAAAAAATTCCAAATTTTGGCTCTTTTATACCTACTCGAGGATTAAATTCTTTTTGTTAGTTGTTGTGTTCTTGTTCTTTCATCGTTTCTGATTGGTTGAACACAGCAAACGCATGTTATAAAACAGAATGGAAGTATTTTTTTTTTTTTATTCCACAGTGTGCTTTCATTGAATACACAACAACAAAATGGCTTGTACTAAGCAGACCGCTCGCAAGTCCACTGGAGGAAAGGCTCCTCGCAAGCAGTTGGCAACGAAGTCCGCTCGCAAGAGCGCTCCAGCATAAACGAAGTGACAGACGGAGCGGCTCGAAAACTTTGGTGACTAACCTGCTATTGCAATTTTTCAGTGTACCACACGGCAACACCACTACTACTGGATTGTACCACATGGCAACACTACTACTGAATTGAACTAGCATTTTCACCAAATGTATTAGAATGTTTTGGTTCTATCTCTTTCACTCTACTCAAAACTGAAATGCATAAAAACATGACAAAATGATACGCACTCTTTGCACACTGTCAAAGAATCATTGTACACAAAATCAACTTTGTGCAAAACCAAAACAAAAATACTATCCCATCTGGTGGATGATGGCAGAAGCTTCTAAGATAATTCTATTACAGCGAACCACATTATTTTAATTGATTTCTTCGCCAGTTAGTCGTCTGTCACTTCGTTTGTGGCTCCAGCCACCGGAGGAGTAAAGAAGCCCCATCGCTACCGGCCAGGCACCATCGCCTTGCGTGAGATCCGTCGCTATCAGAAATCCACCGAACTGCTGATCCGAAAGTTGCCTTGCCAACGTCTGGTCCGTGAAATTGCCCAGGACTTCAAGACCGATCTGCGCTTCCAGAGCTCAGCTGTTATGGCTCTGCAGGAAGCGAGCGAGGCCTATCTAGTCGGTCTGTTCGAGGATACCAATCTGTGTGCCATCCACGCCAAGCGCGTCACTATCATGCCGAAGGACATCCAGCTGGCTCGTCGTATTCGTGGAGAACGCGCTTAATTACCCCGTCTAAATCTTAACAAAACCGGCCCTTTTCAGGGCCACCACAATAATTCAAAAGAGTTGAAGTGACCTTTAAAATTTAAAATCGTTCGTTCCGTTCTAGTCTACATTAAGTAACGAAGTAGAACGTGTGTGGGGGTTTGTTTTCGAGATTTTGAAAACAAACACAGCCGGGTCCGGTAGGGTAGAGAACTACTTCGGCCTAATCGTCCATTTTGGGCCTATCGAGCACAAAACTTCAAATAAATCCATGATTTCAGAGTTAACGTGTCAATTATGCATTTGGTACGATACTTTAGTTAATAAGCTACCAAACGACGTCAATGAAAACGCGTGATATCAAGGTTTGCACCCATTATTCGAAAAAACAAAAGAAGCGCTCCGACCGAATCAATTTTTATCTTCATTCGATAGGCTGAAGTGAATTCATTGGCGTTTCAATGCGTTAGGTCGAGTTTAGAATCCGTAGGCCGAGTTTGGCGTCAAGAAGTAGTGTAAGACTTTTGAAAATATCTCAACGATTGGTTTGTCTTTATCAAATCTTACGGTACGTACGGAAAGGTAAATAAATTTGGAATCCATCAGTAATAATAACATTCCGTTTGGTGCTATACTGCGCTAGATTTAGAAAGACTAAGTGTGGGTTGTGCTAAACAGGCCGGAAATGGGGTAGTTAACCCTATATGATTTGGAAATGAATTTCACTTTATTTTCATGTAGCATCAAAGTGAAAAGGTCTTTGCCCAATCCACTAGAAAATAACATATATTTTATGGTACTTTCTAAGTAAATTTTATTATGTTTTCAAGATTCTCGTAGCATCATCCATTGTTAAGAATTTTAAAATTATTTTTCTAGATAAAATATGGCTCTGCGAAGATTCAACTTTCGATATTCAAGTGTCGGAAAGGCATTAGAAAATTAATCGTTAAACTCTTTCTTGATAATGTTGTGGCCCTGAAAAGGGTAATTTTTCCAACGCGCTCGGCGTAGTTGCCCTTGCGAGCAGACGGTGAATACGACCGACTGAGAACTGCAGCAGCTGGGCATTCCATGACGGCAACCCAGTATACCGGAACACTGGCACCAACGCACTCGGCGTAGTTGCCCTTTCGCCCCCAGGCTCTGCTGCCGCTGCTCTGCTGCCGTTGCCCTGCTTCCGCTGCTCTGGTACTGCTGCTCTGCTGCTCTGCTGCTGGGTCCACGATCGGATAGACAATGATGGAACGGGCGACCTTGTTGGACGCTTATATAGTAGAACAGAAAATATCAGAGGTGTCAGATACTCGCATCTGATGTCTCGGTTCGAGAAAGTATAAGAATATTAAAAAATCAATCGATTTTAACCATCTTTAGACAATGGTTTACTTTTAACCATTTTTCAATAGTTTACAGAATGTAATCAATAGTTTTGAAACATTCAGCAAATTGATAGAAATATTTCCAATCGATTGATTCCATTATCTCGTAAATCTTTCGAGAGACGGTTGAGTTATTATCGTTCAAAATCTTTTAATTTTTCGTAACGCATCCAAAATGACTGTTTTCAATTTTGTACCCCCGTATGTTGCCGAAAGACGTTATCCAACGTCACAAAAAAAAACATATTAAGGACGACAAGACGCCAGACAGTGAAAGAGGAGGAGTGAACGTATTCGCAGGGAGCGGGATATTTCAGAGATCACCAGTGTTTTGACTGGTGGCCACTACGAGTTCCAGCAGCAGCAGTAAGTCCCAAGGTGAGCAGCAAGGACGCCAAAGTTTCCAAGGAGAGCAGCCAGACGTTGGGCTAAGCCAGATATTCACACCGATATCCAGCAGTAGCAAATCTCAAGAACTTCAGCTTGGGAGAACCAAAACGACGGAGGTCAGGAGGAAGATCGATGAACTCTATGTGTTCGTAAAGGATAAAAACAACGCATAACAGTGGCAGATCGGGAATACCAAGAGTGGAGAAAAAGAGCCGAAAATGCCGAAAAGGCACTGCTGGAGGCCAAGGAGAGCATAAGACTGGCTGAAGCACATGAGAAGCCGAAGGGACCCACAAACTCACGTCCTGAAAAGAGAGATAGGAACACGCCAGGAGATGAGGAGGAGCCCAAAAACGTAGGGACGACGAGGATTGCATCAAGGAGATGGGAGAAAATGATGGGTGGCGTAAAGTCGAAACCAGAAGGAGAGAAAGAAACAAAAAAGGAAGATGAAGTTAGGAAGAAGGAAGAAGGAAGAGAAGAAGAAGGAAGACAGGAAGAACAAGGAGAAGCTTAGGCCTCGTAGGGAGAGATTCAAGGGTGATGCTCTGGTTGATGAGGCGAACGACAAAACGTCCTACGCAGCACCCCTCTGGAAAGTGAGAAAGGATCCGGAGTTGAAAAAACTAGGCTAGAACGTGGTAAAAACCAGGCGAACCCAGAAAGACGAGATGCTATTTGAGCTTAAACGGGACCCTACGGTTAAGAGAGCAGCTTTTAAGGTGTTCGTCGAAAAGTCTCTTGGCAGGCCGGTGAACATAAGAGCCTTATACCAGGAGTCAGTGGTTGATTCCAGGGATCTGGACGAGATCACAACGGAAGACGAGTTGAAAAGTGCGCTGAAGGTGCAATGCAACCTGGGAGACGTACCGATGGCAATTCGTTTGAGGAAGGCGTATGGTGGCACGCAAACGGCGTCGGAAGCAGCTATCGGGTTACTGAAGACAGGCTGAATCAAGGTTGGGTGGTCAGTGTGCCCGTTGAAAGCTATTCCTTGGATGCCTACGAAAATGGAGAGATGCTATAAGTTCATGGGCTTCGGTCACCAGGCAATAAACTGCAAAGGCCCTGATATGTGCAGGAAATGCAGAGAGAAGGGACACGTTGCAAAATACTGCACGAAGCAACCGAGGTACATGCTCCGCAAAAAGGAGGACGAAAACAGCCAGGTGACGGGAAATTTCAGGTGCTAAGAGTTCAAGAAGGCGATGGTGGGCCAGCAATAATGGAGGTAGCCCAAAATAAATCTCAATCATTGCAACACAACACAGCAACTGTTGTGGCAGTCGACAACGGAAACAAAGTGCGACGTTGCAATCATTGGAGTGTTATATCGAGTCCCTCTCGATAATGCTAACTGGTAAAATCAATGGAATCTTTGTATGTAGTTGCTACGCACCTTCGAGATGGACAATTGAGCAGTTCCACTAGATGCTCACCGGAGAGCTCATTGAACGGAGACCAGTCGTCATCGCAGGAGATTTCAATGGTTGGGCAGTGGATTGGGGGAGCAGGTGTACCAACGCAAGAGGGTATAGCCTGCTGGAAGCTCTGGCAAAGTTGAACGTCAGTCTGGCCAACTTAGGAACCATCAGCAAAGATGTTAGGGAATCCATTATCGAAGTCACTTTCTGCAGTACGTCACTTGTGGCAAATGTGAACTGGAGAGTGTGCGAAAAGTACAACAAATAGTAACCATCAGGCGATCCGGTACAGTATCGGTGAACGGACACCGGTGGAAATGCGGGAGACGAAAGTAAGCGGGCGGAAGTGGAAGACAAAGGCATCCAGTAAGGATATCTTCATTGACTCTCTAAGAGTAGACAGCAGCGTCCCGGGTCTAAGCGCAAACCAGTTGACCGAATCATAAGCAAGGGCATGTGACACAACTATGTCGAGAAAACTGGAGCCAACACATAGGCGGCGTCCAGATTACTGGTGGAACGAGGAAATTAGCACCCTCCGTGCTAGTTGTCTTTTAGCCAGAAGGCGCGTTAAGATAGCGAGAACGGAAACAGACAGAGAGAAACGCAAAACGAGGTGGTGATCAGAACGGCCAGGGTTGCACTAAAACGAAAGATAAAGCTGAGCAAGTCAAACAGTTTCAAGGAGCTGTGCCGAGATGCCGATGCCAACCCTTGGGGCAACGCATACCGAGTCGCGATGGTGAAAATCAGAGGCCCAACGATGCCGGTTGAAATGTACCCCAACAAGCTGAAAGTCATCGTGGATGGACTTTTCCCACAGCATGACACAACCCCCTACACTATATGGCGAGGAAGATGGAGACAACGTTGAACAAGTATCCAACGAGGAACTCCTAGCAGTAGCGAAAGGGTTGAAGGCAAAGAAAGCTCTCAGCCCGGATGGAATTCCCAACGTGGCCTTGAAAGCGGCGATCCAGACGTTCCCAAACATTTTCAGGATGGTGCTGCAGAAATGTTTGGACGATTTCCCTGATAAGTGGAAGGTACAAAAGCTTGTGCTGTTGCCGAAGCCCAGAAAACCACCAGGGTATCCTGCATCAGCTGGGAGGCCATCGCCAAGGTGCTCCATAGAATAAGGGTTCCAGACTACCTCTGCAGGATTCTAAGTAGTTACTTCCAGAACCGGGTCCTGGTCTACGCGACAGAAATGGGGCAGAAATCGCTTATAATCACGGCAAGAGTTTCACAAAGCTCCATTCTAGATCCCACGATGTGGAACGGAATGTTCCATAGCATTCTGACGCTCAAGCTGCCCAAAAGAGTTGAGATCGTTGGCTTTGCGGATAATGTCGTCTTGTCGGTAACATGTGAGACCCTGATAGAAGTGGAAATGCTGGCGGCCGAGGCAATAGATACGATTGGTAACTGGATCCAAGGAGCGAAGATGCAGATAACTCACCACAAAACAGAAGTGATGTTGGTCAGTAACTTTTAAGCAGTGCAGCGGGCAGAAATCACCGTTGGAGAGTACACCATTATTTCGAAGCGCGTGCTGCAGTATCTGGGAGTGATGATCGGCAACCGGCTAAACTTTAACAGCCACATCGAATATGAGTGCGAGAAGGCGGCGAAGGCCATCAATGCAATAGCCAGAATCATGCCGAACAATTTTGGACCAAGCAGTAGCAAGAGGCGTCTTCTGGCTAGTGTGTCATAATCGATACTAAGGTACGGAGGTCTAGACTGGATTGAAGCGCTGAAAACGAAGCAGAACGAAAAGAAATTGAGCAGTACGTTCCGGCTCATGGCCATGCGAGTC